GAAAGAAGTTGTCATCTATGATGGAAGTGCATTGAGACCAGAAACAGCAATGGTTCTCTTTGACAGTATTTAATAAAGTTTTGAATCATCATGATGGGTGAAACTGACAGTTCTATCAGTACTTGCAGTGATTTACATATGGTGTCATCATCAAAGAACTTGAATGACTATTGCACACAGTATTCCTCTGGTGACTTTCATGATCAATTCTTTGCTTGACAGACTGGGTGGCAATGAGCAGTGGCTGGGATCAGCCTCCTTCAGCCATTTAAGGTCTTACAGAAGGTGTGGTTTTACAAAGCATCTGGTTTTCTTGACAGCACTGTTTGGACAATACAGCCAGGAAGAACAAGACTGATGACATCCTAAGCCCACTATCAGTTTTGTCAGCTTAAGAATATGGGAGCAAACTCATGAGTGATCTGAGTTTGTTGGAATAGGAGCATTCTGAGTGCTCTCATTTGCTAAATAGCATTAGAACAAAACAGGGTGTCAAGTGACAAGGATACTGATGAAAGATGCTGACATCACTCCTTTTTGAAGATACTGAATTCCAATTAGAAATAGTCTGTTTCCTAGCTCTGCTTCTGTGTGGTTAATGTTTTAGTTTTATTTAGAAATGTCTTGTCAACTGTTACTTAATTGCACAATGGATCAAGATTTAATTAGCAAGTGAGTTTTTTAATAATTGAAGCTTACCACTTAACAAAACAGTGATTGAAATATTTGATACTAACATAATATCATGCAATATCCAGCTTTTCAACTTGCTAATGATGCCTGTGACTAGATAGGCTGTTTTCATAATCTGTAATTGTTGAAAGTAGCAAGTTAATAATGAAGACTGAAAACCTGTTTAGCAAACATGTAAGAATACTGACATTCTGATTACTTAGTTAATAATTTGATGAAAATCATGTAATTATTATTATTATCATCTTAACAAGATTCATGGGCTTTCAGATATGTATTGGAAGGCTGATTATACAGGACTTTTTCAGATAGCTTCCCTATATGTGGGGTTTTTTTCCCTTTTTATTCATTTTGCAATGGAGTCATGGAGTAATCTGCTAATAAAATATGTGGTCTGTTTGCTATGTAAATGTACTCATCTAGTTTAATTAGAGTCAGTAAAGAGAACCAAAACATGGTAGCAGTGGTAGGAGAGTTGGTAGGACATGTGAAACATCCCTTTTATAATAGACACTTTTTTTTTTTTTAATTAAACAAGGAGTAATTGTTCATTAATAGTTTATGGAAACGAGACTGACATACAAATTGCCTCAGCACGGTGTCTGAAATGACATACCTATAGTAGGCTGCTATTAAAAGATTATAAGAGCATTGACAGGACAGGTGAGCTGCAGGCTGCATACATCTTTGTTAATTTTTGAACACACTTTTCCTTCCTGTATGTTGTCACTGTTAAACAAAACATTGATGAGTCAGTCATCTTAAACCACTTGCTGACTACTCATTTAGGCTTCCTGGCAGAAAGAACCGAAGATACTACAGAACAGCTGCAGCCACACCGGCTTGCTGACTGTGCACAGCTGGTTTACAAAGCCAGGGAGCTCAGGGCAGGGTCTCCATGTGGGGGGCTGCCAGGGAATGGGCCAGAAAGCCAACAGGAGTACAGTTAATCACCTCAACAGAAAAATTGTATTAATCTCACAGGCTCATACTATGAAATTATTAATATGAATACAAACCAATCAATGGAAATATAACATAAACATAGTAAATATTATTCACAGAATCACAAAAATCATAGAATATGCCGAGTTGGAGGGGACCCCCAAGGATCATCAAGTCCAACCCTTAGCCCTGCACAGGACCACCCCTAAGAGTCACACCATGTGCCTGACTGTATCATCCAAACTCTGTCAGGCTTGGTGCTGTGACCATTTCTCTGGGGAAATTGTGTGCTTGACATTTTATCCAGAGGGATACTGTGAGAAACAATATTGAAAGCTTTTCTGAAACCCAAAAAGATTCCACCAACTGCCTTCCCTTGATCAACTAGGTGGATTACCTTGTCTTGAAAGGAAATCAAGTTTGATAAGCAGGACTTTACTCCCATGAAACTGTGCTGGGTATGACCAATGACTGCATTGTCATTCAGGTGTTTTTCAATACTTCCCAGAATAATCTTCTCCATAACTCTATCAGGCACTGAAGTGAGACCAACAGGCCTGTAATTTCCAGGGTCTGCTTCTTGCCTTTCTTGAAAATTGGGATATGAGACCCAGTTATTTCTATGTCTAGATGGAATCATGATTTCCTTATTGTAGTGTCAGGAGATCCAAAAAATTAACTTTCCTATGAGATCCTTTCAGTGTATGAAATAAACATAAATTAAAAATGATGAAAATGGATTTGAAACATTAATCATGTCAGTATCATTTCTACGCTTTGCTGTTAGAAGCTGTAGAATTCAATGTGCTATTTATAAATTGCATATTGACTCAAGATGTTATTTCACAACATCATAAGATTATGTATCTAAACACTCTGAGTTGTCAATACCTTACATTTGGATAATTGGGATTTTGTTTTACAGAAAATGTAAGTAAAAATGAAAAATAAGCCTCTTAATGATGAATTATAACTACAGTCTTAGTAGGGAGCTGTACGTTTTACCTTGGTATGTATAAATCCATATTTACTGAAAAATGGAAGATGAGTCATGTGGGAAAAAAAAAGAAGAAGAAAAAAGAAGGGTGACATAGAATATGCAAATACTGTAAAGACAAATCTTTTCATATAGCAATGCCACCAAATGCAATAATTTTTTGGATGGTGTATGAAGACAAAAATGTAAATAAAATTATACCTAATAATGAGAGACTCAGACCAGCTGTTACTAAAAGACATTTTCCTACTGCCTCCTTGAGCCTCAGTTTTACTCCCTGGTTATTTAGTCATTGCATAGAGTGAAAAATTGAGGAACTGATTTTATTCCAAGCAAATTAAAATGAACAGAGGGTACTAACAAAAGAACTATTTCTGTATATTTACTAACTTATAGGCGTACCGTGGAGACTGTAAGGTGAAGGGTCCTATCTGGACCTCTCACCAGGGATCTTTCGCGGCCGGGAACAGGAAACAAATTATGAATAAAAATGTATTCCTCTGTGCCATGTGGATACACAGAGAGACCCTCCGTGCCTTGCAATGTGAGGATGATGCAAGACCCCCCCTGTACGAGCCCAGGGGAGGTATGTTGCAACCAGCCAAAAGATAACACCCACTTCCAAAGCAGAGAAATTACCTTTTAAGGCAACAAGCGGACAGTAAAATGAATATTCAACAACTGATATCAAAGGGTACAAAAAGCGCGGTTTTCAAACAGCAGGGTGCTCTTTGTTTGATTCAAAGGTGCACCCAGCGCTGGAAATGGGTACCTAGCACTGCAATAAAAATCTCTTGCTATATTTCTTTGTCCTGTAGGTATTTTTTCCGTCTTCAAAATTCCAGAGAAAAAGTAACTTATAACAGTGATGATGAGGATATTGATCTTAACAGAGCCCTAGTTAAACCTAAAGCACTCAGGAGGGAGGTTTTCTCAGAATCCGTCCATTTTTCTGTAGATTTTGCAACATCTAAATTTTGCTGGTAAAGTGAGAAATGAGCCCATCTGTGAACTTCAGATGAATTCAGTGCAAAGAGTGTCTTTAATCTGATGATAGCCCTTTCCTCTTCTTTGAAACAACTGCTGCATTTGCCTGAACTGATGTAAATCAAGTCTCAGGTTATCAATAAGGGCACCTTGCAAACTCCTGTAAGAATTGGTGGGTTCCAGACAAAGTCCTGTGGAGATTTGCTACACACTCAGCCCTGGAGGTGGCAGCTCTGCAGCTCGTTTCTTCTCTTTGGCCTTCTCTTCTGTTTTGGGTGTGTAACTAATGCCACAGTTGAAATTCTGGATAAACTGCTTAAATTATCAAATATTTAAAAAACTAGAGGGCCATTTTCTACATTAGCTAAATTCTCTCTTTGTGATGTTGTTTGAGACGTAGGCATCCAGATGTGACTGAAAAGTAAATAATGAGTAGCTTCCCAACATCTGTCCAAAAGTTGGGCAGATACAAGACTAATGCCTCAATTGGACTTTGACAAGTGGAGAGAAAAGAAATGCTGCATTTATTCATGGTTTTATGCACTGCAAAGAAGATACATGGGGTATCCTACAGCAATTACACAGGATGCTAGCAGGAGGCCATAGGCCTTCTTATTGACCAGAATTATTGTATTCTTTCTTCTACAACTCTACTGCCTAGATGAATACTCCTGATATACTGCAAGCTCATTGAAGTAGGAGCTTTGTTCCGTATTTATGTACCTTGTACAAATACAAGTGCATCTTGGCCCAATACTGAGTGTCCCAGTTCCTACCATATTACAAATATGAGAGCAATTAATGATATGGCAACATGTTGCAATTGAAAAAGCCAGTGCAGCTTCTTAAAACCAGTGGACATCACAGCTGAAATAGGAAACTCTGAATGGGCTCTGTGATGTTTGTTTTCCACTGGAGTACTGATTAGTCCTGGTATCACCCTGTGAAATAAATTCAATCCACTGCCATACAGAGTGAGTCACACCTTTAGTGAAAGCAGGTGAAACACATTTATGCTAAAGCAGTTCAAGGGGTTAAAGAATGAAGGGGAAATTATCTTTGCAAGTGAGATTTAAATCATTCAGACAACTGAAGATCCAATAATAATAAAACTTTCAGGTTTCCAGTCTGAGCTGGTGTATGCTGCAGCAGCAGCATGGTCGTTACTTCTAAATACAATGCGGGGGGGAGGGGGGGCGGGAGGGAGAGAAGGTGGAAAAGCTCCACTGAGCACCGAATTTTGATGGTTTTGTCCGTCTCTCCCAGCCCGCGGCGTGGGACTACAGCCCCCAGCAGCCCCCGCGCGGCCCGGCGGCCCGTTCGCGCACCCAGCGTGCCGCGCGCGGGGCGCTGTCGTGGCGCTCGCGGGTGAATGAGCCCCGCTGCGGCCCCGCCGACGGTCGGGCCACCTCGTCCTGCGCCGCCTCGGCTGCCTCCTTCCCCTCGGCTGCCTCCTTCCCCTCGGCTGCCTCCTTCCCCTGGGCTGCCTCCTTCCCCTCGGCTGCCTCCTTCCCCTCCTCCTGTGGCAGGCTCCGGGCAGAGCCATGAGGCGCGCGGGGCTGGGTAAGCGCGGCGGCGGGGCCGCTCTGGGCCTCCTCACGGGCAGGGCCCGGTGCGGGGCAGCGTCTGGGGCAGGGGGCGTGAGAGGGGCTGTGCCCCTGGGCGCGGGGCTGCAACAGAGCTCGGAAGCTTTTGGGGGGAAAAGCCGTCACCCCTGCCTCTGCCTCTTTGTAGCTCAGCTGTATTTACGGAGCAGCGCTGGGGTTTGTATTTATCGTAGAATCGTAGAATGATTTGGTCTGGAAGGGACCTTAAAAGATCATCTAGTTACAATCCCCCTGCCATGGGCAGGGACACCTTCAACTAGACGGGTTGCTCAGAGACTCGTCCAACCTGGCCTTGAACACCTCCAGCGATGAGGCATCCCCAGCTTCCCTGGGCAACCTGTTCCAGTGCTGCACCACCCTCCCAGTAAAGAATTTTTTCGTAATATTCAATCTAAATCTACTGTCTTTCAATTTGAACCCATTCCCCCTTGTCCTGTCGCTGTATGCTCTTGTAAACAGTCTTGGCTCATTTAGCTGTGCTGATGATGTTTAGTTGTTCCAGCGTGGTGTTAATTTGAGCCGTGTTCTCATGGATGGACAGATTTGTCACTCTTCAGTCAAGTACTTTCCATTTTGGAGTTGTTTTTTTTTTATTTTAGTACTTCTGTATGTTTTCCTGTTATGTTTGAGGGGGAAAACCCCCAAACTCCAAACTATTATGAATTTGTTACAGATATAATCTGGTGCAAATGCAGAAATCCTTGCAGAGTTCCTGCTGAGCGTTTTGAGCAGCTTAGGCCTCATTTTTCAACCAGGAGTCATGTTGATGACTGTAAGGAAACTTTGAACTCCCACGTCATGTTCTACAACCACGTGGGTGCTGTGGCTGCACTGTAAAGCTTAGGGGATGTTTATGCTTCAGAAGTATGTGACTAAGTTCTGGTGCTTCTTCCTAGAAAGTATTTAGGGGTGGTAAATGCCACATGGCTAAACCAGGTGTGTCTAAAACCACCTTACGTTTACTTCTACATTTTAGATTTGTGTCATGCAATGGTATTTTCATGAGATAAAACAAGTCTTGGGAACACTTCTTAGTATAGCAAGAGAGGTGTTGGGATATTTGTCATAAAAAGGTGGGCATTTGATAGTGCTTAGATCTTCAGTCCTCCTTTGTCAGACTGGCAGCTGGCTGTTGGGTATGAGCTGAGAGGGGTTGGAGTGGAGGCCACCCAGTACAGTGTGCTGTTTCTGAAGAGGTGGTGGATGTTCACGTGAGGAGTGCTGAAGAAAGAGCGTGCCTTCTTTTAGGCTGATTCTGGCAAACAATGCTTTAAGGATCATCCTGAAACTGCTTTTTAAAAAAGTCTGCTGGAAGGTCAAGCAAAAGATTTAAATGTGTGTTATCAGCTGCAGTAAAATTTTCTGCTTTACCTTGACATTTCAGCTGTCAGTTCAGAACTACTTTTTATTTAATAGGCTGGAAATAGAAGCTGGGCACCAGCATTTAGGCTGTTGTCACCATCTACCTGGTACCTCTTTTTTAGCCTGCAGTTATGTTATGGCCATGTCCCCATTACATGTCAATGAGCAGTGTTGTGGGACTGTCCATAGAACTGCCCTGCTGGAGTTTCTGTCCTTCCCATAAACAGCTGTAGCCAAACGTCTTCATTGTGCTTCCTATGACATTTAAAGAAGCAGCCATGCCTGTTGAAAAGCTTTGGGGCAGTTGTTCATATCTGCATTGTCACAGTCCATATAAGAATCATCGTGTTTTGGCATGAAGCTGTATGGTGTATTAACTTATAGACACACTCAAAATTATGTGTCATGAAATACTGTAGTTAGATGCACTTGTAAAACAGACACAGTGAGAACAACCCTAACTCTCTAAATGATAGAATTTTAGTCAAATTTCTGTATTAGGCATTGGCACTTTTGACTTAAGTGGGGGGAAAAAAGGCTTCTTGACTCAGTGTGGTGAAATGAAAACATGTATTTCATTGCAGTCGACAAATCCCTCACAGGGAGAAGAGGAGGGGCTGGCACTGGGCACTGATCTGTTCTTTCTGATGACCAGTGACAGCACTGAGGGAATGGCCTGAGGCTGTGTTTAGGGGAGGTTTAGGTTGGATATTAGGACAAGATTTTTCACCAGAGGGTGACTGGGCACTGGAACAGGCTCCCCAGGAAAGTGGTCACAGTGCCAAGCCTGACAGAGTTCTAGAAGTGTTGGACAACGCTCTCAGGCACTTGGTTTGATTCCTGGGGTTTTCCTGTGCAGGCCCAGGAGTTGGACTTCGATGATCCTTGTGTGTCCCTTCCAGGCTTGTGTGTCCCTTCCAGCTTGTGTGTCCCTTCCAGGCTTGTGTGTCCCTTCCAGCTGTCATTCTGTGATCCAGTCTTCTTGAGGATCTGTCATTAGCTTAACTTGCAGAGTAATAATTTACAAGTACAAATTAAAAAGTTGTCATTACTTAAATTTAAGGAATGACTTCATGGGTTCATAAAATTATATCTATTGTTAAAATAGCATTGTAATTCTCTATTTTAAAATATTAATATTATGCATTCCAAGCACACAATGAAACGATTTGAAACAGAGTTCTCTCTGTGAATGGGGTTGGTGTCTCTCTTCTCTCCCTTTTTCCTCAAAAACACAAAAATCTTTACAGTGTATTTAAAATGCAATCAAAGGCATTCAATTTTCATATGCCATTCTGGCTAGCCATGTAAGTATATATTGATGTTATAACTGGATTGTTAGTTGAATTAATCTGTTGGGATCTTTGTCACAAAGCTTATAGTAGTTCTTTTCTGTTTGCCTTTCTAAGTCTTGATGTCTCTTCATTGTTTTCAAATCTTAGATTTGAGGTCTAAGACTGATTTTTGTTTCAACTGGTCGTGGCTTTAATTCTCCAGTGCTCGTGCTGCTGTCCAACTGCTGCTTGTAGGAAATCTTTATTAAGAGTTTGGAGGAAGTAAATGTGTGAAGCTGAGCAGCTTTCATTCCTTTTTGCCCTGCATACTCTGCTGCCTCAGCTGTCTGGATGACTGTCCTGAATCTCCATCACCCAAAATGCCCAGGCAGGAGTGGATATAGAACTGCAGAATGATGACTGAAACAGAAATGCTCTGCTCAGAGGCCTGGCTTCTGCTCTCGGGTCTTGTTTGTAGAGAAACTCATGTAAGGATCAGAGTATGGCTTTCCCTTTAAGTGTTTGATCAAGTGATATTTTTCTTCATTAGAGAATGGTTTCAGCTCTCCTATTTTCAGTTTGGTTTCCCATATGTTGTGGCCTCAATGCTTCCTTCACATCTCCATGTAATGCCTATGTTGATTTCCATAGAACTCATCTGAAAACACTATCAGAGGAGAAATCTGACAGTACTAAATTACAGCCATTCCTCGGTTTTTCTTCTTTTATTTGTATACTGAGAGGTAACTTTAACGTTTGGAAAAGGTAACTTACACATTTGAATCTCTGTCTCAGGAACATGCGAATCACTTTTTCCAATAGTGTTTTCTGTCTGTAACTACCGACTGTTGTATTTACAGGTGAGGGAGCCCCTGCAGGTAACTATGGCTATACCAGCAGTGGATACAGTGTTTATGAAGAAGAGAATGACAGGTTAACAGAAAGTCTGCGTACGAAAGTCAGCGCCATTAAATCCGTACGTATTTAATTACTGTGATATCGTCACATTTATTGAATTAAATTATATGAATCAGTAAAGCAGCAGACTTAGTTTAAAACGTAAATATAATACTGTGGTGAGTTAACCATGAATGGGCAGCTGCCCACCAAAGCTGCTCTGTCACTCCTCAGGTAGGTGGGGAGGAAAAAATATGACAAAAGGCTCACGTGTTGAGGTAAGGGCAGGGAGAGCTCACCAGTTACCGTCATGGGCCAAACAGACTCGACTTGGGGAAATTAACTTAATTTATTGACAGTGAAATCAGTAGGGTCATGAGAAATAAAAGCAAATCTTAAAATGCCTTTCCCCTACCCTTCCCTTCTTCCTGGCCTCAGCTTCCTCCCTCTCAGCAATGCAGGGGGATGGGGAATGAGAATTGCAGTGAGTTCATCACGTGTTGTCTCTGCTGCTCCTTCCTCTTAACACTCTTGCCCTGCTCCAGCATGGGCTCCTCCCATGGGAGACAGTCCTCCATGAATTTCTCTAACATGGGTCCTTTCCATGGGCTACAGTTCTGCACTAACTGTTCCAGTGTGGGTCCTTTCCATAGGATGCAGTCCCTCAGGAACAGACTGCTCCAGGGTGGGTCCCTCACAGGGTCACAACTCCTGACAGCATACCTGCTCCAGCATGGGCTCCTCTCTCCTTGGAATCACAGGTCCTGCCAGGAGCCTGCTCCAGTGTGGCTTTCCCACAGGATCACAGCCTCCTTTGGGCACCTGCTCTAGCCTGGGGTCCTCCATGGGCTGCAGGTGGATCTCTGCTGCACTGTGGACCTCCATGGGCTGCAAGTGGAGAGCCTGCTTCACCACGATCTGCACCATGGTCTTCAGGGGAATCTTTGCTCTGGTGCCTGGAGCACCTCCTCCTGTTTCTTCTCCTCTGGCCTTGGTGTCTGCAGTGTTTTTTCTCCTACATATTCTCACTCCTCTCTATGCAATTGCTCTTGTGCAGGTTTTTTTCCCTTCTTAACTATGTTGTACCAGAGGTGCTACCACTATTGCTGATGGGCACTGCCCTGACCAGTCATGAGGCTGTCTTGGAGCCAGCTGGCATTGGCCCTGTTGGACATTGGGGAAGCTTCTGGGAGCTTTTCACAGAAGCTACCCCTGTAACCCCCCCACCAGTACCAAAACATTTCAAAAGTTTCCAAACCCCATACAAATAAAAGAAGTACTTATGTCAGCCAAAATGCACAATCATTCCTTTGTAAAACTGATTTTTTAAACTAGTTTTTTAAGCTAGAGATGTCCTTTTTGGTCTACCTTGAGCACACCTGTGGTGTAACTTACGGCTTACTGTCCTACAGAATGAATGCCTGCAGAAGCTAAAATCTTTGAGTTTAGGTCAGTAACCCTGTTTCATTTAAGAAAGCGGGTTACTACTTCTTGGTCTTATTGCTACAGCTCACCAGTTTCTGCTGTATCTGCCTATAAACTTAAAATGTGAAAACAGCTCTTAGAAACAGCATGCTAATATCCTCTGAAGAAGTTGTTCTAATGATTCTGATTCCTTCCAGAGACTAAGGACTTCTTTCAAAGAAGTCTAACTGAAAGACAGCTCTGTGATTAAAATTGTTTTGGTCTTTTGTTCTTAAAAGCTGCAAATTTTGTCAAATACATTCTTAGCAGTAGGTGCTGTTTCTATATATAGAGTGCAAACTTATGAATTCTTTCCATTGAAATTCTCAACTCATTCAAAGTCCTGTTGCTAATACTGCTGCTTAAATGTAATTTGTTTAGTCTCAACTAGAAACTAAACCAGATTTAGAATCAGAATTTAGAATTAAGTTAAGGGGGTAAAAGGAAAAGCTTTGACCTTTGTTAGCAAATTTTATTTCTTGTCTCCTTCTTGGTATGTTACATTTCAAAATCAGGGTATGTCGACAGTGCAGTTGGCGGTGCCCGAGAGAGCAGCACATGTGCTCTTCCTGCAGTTGCATCTTTTAGTGCAACATAATAATCTTGGCACATGGAGTAACCTTCAGATAATCTTCCCAGAAGCCTCATGTAAAATCAGTTTCACTCTTGCTTTACTATAGATTGCACTGAAATGCAGCAGTAAGAAATAATGAGATTCAGGTTGTGACACATAAAACCATATATGCTTAGTGTAATCCAAAGCATGGGGGCCTGAAGCACATTTCCCACCATTCTAGGAGTCGAACTGGTTGTTCAAGGCCAGTGTGCTGGTAAGAATTGTGGCAGAGGAAAAGCTGCTAAGAATTAGGATCAGTGTCAGTTCTCCCTTGTTTGACTCTGGAGCTGCTTTTAAGCCAAGGCTCACCTGGCTTGCTCCTGCCTTTGCGGTGTTGCAGCTCCATCTGTGCCTGGTCTCATATCTCCCTGATTCCAACCCTAACCCAGCTTCACTTTGTGGCTTGACCTTGGACCTGTCTTGGGCTGCTTGCCAGGCTGTTGCTGGCCCTGGTCACTATCTCAGGACTGACTCTCCCTGGACTGTGCAGCTTTCCTCCTGGTCCTGTGGCACCCTTGCTCTTCTGTGACACAAAGCAGAGAAGGGCTAGACAAGTTCACTAAAGAAAATCCCATTTATAGCATAACAGGAATTTGTCAAAAGAGATGCTTTAGCAGGTTGCATGCGTCAGCTCCAGCAGCACTGAGTCAAATGAGTGCTCGTGGTCCTCTGTGCTGTGTGCCAGTAGTTTTAACAGTTGTTCCAGGAAATGGGTAGTTGCTCTTTAGACTTGACTACATCTTGAATTTTTGAAAGTCCATGCAGTAATTCTAATAAGACATTATCTGGAAGAGGACCACTGAGCACCTGCTGTGACTCTTTAGACTCATCTGATGAAAAATCTTTTCTTAAGGGTTGTTGACAGAATACTTTGCACGTTATTTTGTTTTTTGAAAATACAAGGTACTGTTTTCACATTTTTCCTGGGGAAATGCTAGTCATGTTATGTATTTTAGACTGGGTTCTCTAATCTATGTATAACTGATTACTCATGCTTAATACTTTTTGGTGTTTTTTAACAGCTTTCCATTGAAATTGGAACAGAAGTTAAAAACCAAAATAAAATGTTATCAGAAATGGTAAGTATGTAGTAACTAAATTTCTTTAAATACAGGGCAGGATTAAGAAGTTAGTCATGTAAAGGATCCTGTCTTTTAGTATGAACGTGTTTATTAAAATGTTGACAGCTTACCACTGTAACATGACTGATTCAGTAACAGTATTTCTGTTCAAAAAGATAAAATGTGCAAATACATTACTTTCAAGGCACAACCAAGGCCTTTTTGCTTCAGATGTGACTATTGATTTTCAATTAGAAAATGTATAGTACTATTAAAGAGGCAGTTCTATATTTAATAGTATTCAAGAACAGAAGAAGGAAGCAAAAAAATAAGGCAGTCAGAAATGCCTTTTTATCTTACACTTTGCTTTGGCTTGGGGAAAAAATAGCACTGTATAAATGGGTGAAAGTTTTTCAAGGTTAATTATTGCCTCTAAAATAATTTTGAAAAAACAAGGAAAACCACACTTAGTGAGCTGTAAGGGTATTTCTTTTCTCAGCGTAACATATTTTTTGTTGTTTGGTTTTTTTTTAATGTAGGAGAATGATTTCGACTCTACAGGTGGACTTTTAGGTGCAACTATGGGCAGACTAAGAACACTTTCCAGAGGAAGCCAGACAAAGCTGTTATGTTATATGATGCTCTTTTCATTGTTTGTTTTTTTTGTAATATACTGGGTTATTAAACTGAGGTGATGCATGGTACCTCTGGTTTACATTGTGTAATTTCAACTACAGTCTTAATTAATGAAGACATTGATCTGAAGTGGCATATTCTGTCGATAAAAAATGGTGAAATTGTTGTAAATTGCATTAAATATTAATGCAATGTTATATATAGTTTTCTTAATATGTCAGAATTTTTCCCATCATCCCCTGTTTTGGGGGGATTATTTGTAAATATGCAGAAAGTGCTGGCATAGATTGTTTTTTTTCAGGAAAAGTAGTTTTTAGAATTGATTTAAAAATACAGAAAACAAGGGTTTTTCAAATATGAAGTAATTGCAGAATTACAAGGCTTTCTCTTTCATTCTGCTTTTCGTTCTGCACCGTGCTCTAAATTAGAGCTCCAGTTTCAGGCATGTGGTAATTTCTAGATTGCAAAAGCACGAAGAATACTTGGATCTTTCTAAATTGGTTTTATCTGTGAATTTTTTTAATTCTGGCCTGAAGCTAAGAAATGTAATAGTGGTACCACCAAAAATTACTTTTGTGGCTAGATCTGATAGTGTTTAAGTAGCTTAAACTGTGTGCTTAAACTGTGTATTTTGGGGAGAACTGAATTTTCTATTTTTTTTTTTAATTCAGACGTGACAAATCATCTTACACATCTCTTTTAAGCAAATGCCTTTGATCATTGGGATCAATCAATATGGACACTGTTCAAATGTTTTCTTTATATTTAAAGTATCAGAAATTAATGATTCCATTGAATCACAAACTTTTATCATTAGTATGCTTACTTTTCAATTTGTGATGGTCCCTAGATCTACACTGCATGATGCCTGAAATACAAGGGCAGATACTTGGAATTTTATATTAAAGTAAATGATGATGCACCTGTTGAAGGTGGAGTCACAGTAAGGATTTTTATTTTGAAGACTTAGCTTTGCCTCACCAAATAGTTTCTAATCGTTGAAGCTATTATATTGCTGAGTTTAACATAAAAACCATTAAGTTTCCTAGATACTGAAATTGTATCTACAATTTTTGAAAGGCTTTTCTAGAAATACTGTATAATGTGTTGCCATTAATAACTAATTATGAAGTGACAAATAAAGAGGCTTGTAGTATTATTCTAACTAGTGTTGTTCATATACATTCTTATCTCTTGTAGAATACCAGTGTATTTTTTTGAAATGGTGGTGCATTTAAGGGGCATTTTTTATTTATTTATTTTTAATCCATAATACAGGCTGTCTCTTCTGGCTTAAATGACTGGTTTAGGAAGAGTTTAAGTAATTATGTACAATTTTCATATTAACATGTTTAATATTTTTCTTTAATAATTACACACAAATGATGGTACCTTGCTGCTGAAGTTCAGGCCTCCAAAATCTTCAGATACAATTAAACAATTGTTTGTAGAATTCTGCAAATAGAAATCAACCACTACGCCCATCACCAAACATCCACCACAGAGTTGACGTGAACTTGGCAAAGACGACACAGCTCATTGTCATGATTGCTTGCTAAAAGGGAAAGATAGGGAAGGTACCTGTAATTGAGAGCAAACACACTGTTCTAGTATTTGGAGATGGCAGAGAATCATTTGTGCCTTAATTATGGGTCTTGAAGAAAGCAAAGCTACACTGAAATTATATAATGAAATCATAGTTGTATCCATATAGAAGTTCTGTTTCTTAATGGGTGGCTTAGATGCTCTACAATGTAGATCAAGTTTGAATAAAGAGCACATTTTTTCAGTGTGCTTAGCGTAGATCATTGAAAAAATGGAAAAATACCTTGCAGGAGGCCGCATTCTCTCAGGCTGCTTTATATTAACAGAATTTTGACACTGGAGAATACATAGAATGGTAATGCTGAAAGACCTGGATGTGCATTTTGATGGCAAAATTACCGTTTTCCACTCACAATGTGCTGGCTGTTTGTTACCTTCAGTGTGCAGTACAAGCCATGCTCTTGCTGTCTTAATTTTCTGGGAAGAGTGGAGCTGTATCACTTGCTTGGAAGTATTGCCATGTATTTGCATATGATGGAAAGCATGGTTTCATCTGTCCCACCTCCTATTGACATCAATCTCAAGTCTCTGCAGAAATATAAAGAGTAGATTTAAACATGTGCATGCTGTTCTGATGGTTTTCTTCTGAGAAACCTGATGAGATTACCTACATGTGTCATACTAATTCCAGATGCCTGCAGAACACCTCCTCCACTGCCTCTTCCTGGGGAGGTGGTCTGTGATACTTCCCTCAATACCCCTACTAGTCCCCTCCCAAAGCAGTAGGTGCCTAAGCCTGCAGATGAACTTTAATTTTTCCAGGGCCAGCAGCAAAAAGGGTTGCAGCTCTTAACTTTGATGAACTGTGTGGTAAATAAAGAGTCAATCAGTACACGAGGTACTGGAGAATTGTACAGAGAGGGTACAATTTTCATTCAGGTTTTTTAACCAGTAAGCATCCTGGTCTCCCTCATGGCTATGTGAGATCTGGCAGAACACATATTAATATTATATAGCAGTATAGTTAGTGTTACATAGTATTCTAGTATAGTTTTATATAGTCTATAAAGCTGCTGTGCTTTAAAAAGGAATGGCTGCTCCAACAATATTTACTTTCAATTTGACATTTCTAATCACAGTCATTTAAAACCTGCCATTAACATCACTGAGTCATCCCTAACAGTATTGCCTAAGTTTCCTGTGCTAGCCAGATTGCAAAATACTGCAACCTCAAGCAATTTTACTCACAAGTTTCTCCTTTGGGGAGAATTAAAAACCACCATCATCAACAGAAGAACTACCAAAACAGTTCTAAACTATCTCTAATTAATAACCTGAAGATTCCCCACCTTCCTACAGGCCTGGTTGAAGGCTGTGGAGCTGGAACAGTGGTAGGTTACTTGTTCTTAGTGCTGCAGTGTTGTCTGCTTTGTCAAGCTGCAGAAAGCCCCTGCCCATGCTTAGCATTTGGCATCTTCACTGTAGCCTACTCCATCTGCAGTAGGAATCCTGGACATGTAGCTTGTTTATATGATGTTAGAAATAGACACTGGTAAGATCTGGCTTTGGTGGAGTGTGTGACAGACAAGTCAGGTTATCACGTATAAAGACATTTTTAAAAAAAAACACCTTTCATATATGTTTTGTGCATTTGTGTGTCTTTACAAATTTGTTAGTAATTATGTTTTTGTCTTTAGGAGTGAGATAAAGAGTATTTCTTATATAATCTACAGAAAGGTGACTAATGGTGATCTCTCTCCTGAGGAGACAGGATGGAAGGTTTCCTCTAATTTAACCAGATCAAGATGACAAAAGACTCAAGTGATTTTAATCTAGCAACCCTCTTCTGGGAAAGAGAATTGCTTTCAGAATAAGAAAACAAAACCATGGGACCAACTATCCTGCCAGAAACTGCAAGAAAGCTGGGAAAGAGGAGATAGTAAAGTAACCTTTTATATCAGCTATTCATTGTATGCTTTTGGTTTGATACTTTATATTATATCAATAATAGATTATTAGTATGGCAAATAAATATTTTAATACCTATAAATATTAGAACTTAATTGCTTTACTTAAGCTACCCCTAGAATCTTTTCATCTGGTACAGTAACACTTTGCTTTCTGATTTCTCCATCACCTTGTTACTGCCTCATGATAGAGCAGCAAGTCCTGCTCTACTGCAGCCCCACTGAGGTGAGCATCGACCTGTGGTGGCTTCACCCAGATAAAGGACGGTGAGGAACCAGGCTGCAACACACCATGCAGTTTTGTGAAGGTGTCATTCTGACGGACCAAACCTCTAGCTGCTTGTTGAATGCTGAGAGAGTGGGAGTTAGCCTGAGGAAAGAGAGAAATCCAGCTATTGTGTTCTATCCTTCTAAAACACCCCCTGCAAAGAATTTCTTCTCATTCGGGAAATGCCATGCATGTGAAATACTCACTGTAGATTATAAGACTTATCCTGCTCAATCAAATCAAGAGATGTAAATGTTAAAAAGTTACCCACTTTTTGACAAATTAAAAATTCCTTATTGCCAAGTTAAAAAACTGCACTTCTGAGGGAGGGTAAGGAACCATTCCCATTCAGTCCAGGTTATCAATAATTTCTAGTTATGTACCAACAGGAACAAAAAGAACCCTCCACATTGTCAAATCATGTTTCCCATCTCCATAGGTAATGTCATACAGCCTTCAGAAATGTGTCAAGCGCTGCTTTAAGGAGAAAAAACAAGCGCCCTTTAATCCTGGGCTATCCTAATTTGAAGGCTGTGAGATAACAAAGTTATCCTAATTATTAGGAACTCTCTAACTTACAGCCTGAATGTGTTTCGGAGTAGTATAATCTAGTATAGTCCACAGTTTAACATTCCTCTGTTGGCTGGTGTTGACCCCTCTGCCTTCTGAGGGCCTTTCAGCCTTTGTTTTGCACGAGCTAAGCCATGTCCACTACGCTGCCTGTACCCCAGGCAGCCATGCCACAGCTCATGGCACTATAAATCCGTCTCTAGCCTCAAGCTGATAAAATGTCATGGTGTTTGCAGCTGTGCATTCCAGTACCATTTACTGCCCACAGCCAGGAAGCCGTGCCTGCTCAGGGAGCCACTCTACATTTTCCTCTGGAAAGTCATATGGCATTGGGGTCAAATTCTGTTCACAAACATCCTGAGAGGAGCCTACTTACCTTCAATGCAGGTGTCTGCACAAGGCTTTAAACTCCTGAGAAAATAACTCAGTAATTTTCTTTCCCCTTTCTGACAGTGATCAGTGCCGGTCAGACGTGGGGAAGAAAGCAAGTTGTGGTGACTCGAGCCCTGGTTTTCCCTAGTAGCCTGGCTTCATGGCAGTGGTCCCTCAGGGATGCTGCTTTCTGCTTCCCTGGTTAGGAGGCCATTGGTAAATCCATACCAAGGTTTATGTGGCTTAGAGTAGCACTGCTTCCCAGAAGGACATTTTTACACTGCTTCTTTTTAGCACAAATTGCCCTTGATTACTTTTTTTCTCAACAATTACTATTTTTAGGTTG